GAGGTCTGGGCAAGGGTTTAGATATATGCAGTATTAAAGGTCAGGTTTCTGCCCTTTCTATCTTTCTTGTTCATTCCACTGTGTCTGTGTGGGTTTTAAGTCTGGATCTCTCTGTGCTGCAGAAACCCTATTTTTAAACCCATTAGAGACATTCCTCTGTTTACTCTCAATTACAAGGTGGTATTAGCTGTAGCCATCACCTCAGATGTCTGAGCTGGTGGCCTTATCTTGCAAGGAACCCTTTTTTTGCAAAGGGACATAGTGGTATTGAGGCCTACAACTTCTTTCTTACATAAGAAGAGTTTAAATAGCTACCCCTATCAATGTTTGCTAGATTAGGGCAGGGAATAAAATACATATGAAAAATAATGTGTAAATAATGTTTAAAAAACATAAATATATAGTGATGATACATAGGAAAATGATGGGGTCTGGAGCAGCATCTGGCTCTTAGCACTATCAAAGGTCAAGTATTTGCCCTTTCTATCTTGTTTCACAGATCATTGGCTTCCCACTCCTTGATTAAGACAAAATCTGGTTCTTTTTGCACTTCAGAAACCACCATTTGAACTCTATCGAGACATTCTTCTCTCTGCTTTCATCTACAAGATGATATTCCTTGTAGCCTTATCTTGCAAGAAAGCCTTTTTTGTTTTGCATAAGGATAAGGTGGTGTTGAGGCCTAGGTAATACCCAGTTTTCATTGCTGTCCCTGCCTGTGTTTGCTTGACTACAGCAGGGATGGCCTTACAAGGAAATAATAAAAATTAAAACATGATAAATATAAAAGCATTAATCTGTAGATAGTGATTCAAACAAACAAAACCCTACTGCCTCTCTCTTCAGGCTTGTCTGGCATCTTTGTAAAGGAGATTGCCTAAATTTAAGCAGCTATGGTGTGGGGGGATAAGTATGTGGTCCTTTGGTGCATACTGCTTTACTGCACAAATATGCAGTGACATGTTACAAACAAAGGGCAGCTTTGCCTCTGTCAACAAAATGTGCCTATGCTCACAGAATTGTACAACATATCTGCTTGAATGTTTCTCTTTTGTATGTATGCACATCATACAATTTGAAATGTAATTAGCTTTTATTGAGCGAAAATATACCTCCCTTCCAAAAGACCTGATTTGGGGTGGGGCCAGAAGTCTATGGTCATAAGATCCTATACTTTTGCTGCATCCTGCTCTTCTCCCTGGCTGTTGAATTTCCTCCTTCCATTTGCTGTTGTCTGTCCTTCCTCCTGCTTTGGGAAAGAGCAAGTAGCTCATGGTTACAGCTTTTTCCCCTACTGCTATGCCTCTAGTGCCCTGACAATAATAGAATAAAAAATATGTCTGCCCTATTTTCTACTACTCCAACTTACCGCCAGCACCCCGCCCTCCTCCTCATATTCTGATGTAGTCAGCAATCATGTGATTCAGGAGTTACCTTTGGGTGTTGTCTACAGCCAGTCCTTGCCGCTGTTGGCCATCAGAGGGGATCCTGCCACTATCAGGAAATGCGGGAAAGAGGAAATTGCCTACAAGAAGGACCCTGAGCCCCCCATAATCTCACCTCACCCAAATACAACTCTTGGGGTGTGGGGGGGTTAACATTACCCTTGGAGCCTGCCCTATTCCCCCTTCACCTTACAATGAGCATCTCAACCCTTGATCTCTTCCTTACTGCCAGTACCTCAACTCTCCTCCTTCTCCTCATATTCCTCCTCTGCCTCGTGCTGCCTTATTGCAATCCACATGCTGTTTAAGTGAAGAGATGTCCTCCTGTGCAAAATAATGGTGCCTGGGAACCTGGCACTGTGGTGTACCACAGGCCTTAAACACATGTAATGGTGTGTTTTGCAAAGCTGGCATTAAGATACTGGGCATAGGGGTCATTTAGGAAAATTTGTTTCTTATGCTCTAGTAGCATACACATTAGGAAAAGCCCTCAAAACACTGTGGAGCTCTGTGGACTGGCCCCCTGTCCTCTAACTGCACAGACTTCTCATAGATAGTATGTGGGGCTAAGGCAGAATTTTCAAAGCAGGGGAAGGAAAAGGGCACATTAGCAGAACTTGCAGGCAAGTGGCTGCTCTGCAGCCTTGGGAAGTAGAGGAGAAGGAAAATGGTCCATTATTAGCAATTGCAGGCAAGTGGCTGTTCTCCACCTAAGAGGAATAGGAAGAGAAAGGCCATTCCGCAGGGTGAGCTACTGGCTCCCCAGAGCCTCTGCAGACTGCCTCTCTCATATATTTGAGATGTTTTATGAAAATGTAGGGTACTGAAGACAGAAAGCAATGCAGAAACATGAAGGTCGAGGACTGGACTGGTATTGTTTGCAGAGGTATAGGAGGATTGGTTAAAATTAAGAAAAATAATTTCTTTTGACTGGCTCCTTCAACAAAAGTCCCTTGGGGAATATTGTTTACTTGGCTTGAATTTCAGCCAAGTCAGCAGGACTTGGCTGAAATTCAGGGACAGAAAACAGAAGAGCACCAGACAAAAACAGATGTTACAGTCCAGTCTAATATTTGTGTTGTTCCAACAGCCATAGCATGTCAGGGGTAAACACAGCTTCTTCCTCAGGGCTTGGAAACCATGAGAATAAAGGAATGGACAGAAAAATTTTGAATTTAGATATTAACTATTAACTATTAACCTTATTAACTATAGGTAGTTCTCCCTAAATCTGTAGTTTGCAGGCAGTGATTGGTGAAATTCAGCATATGGCCAGTTTAAAAAACCACATAGTTGGCAGTTGTTGGTTGCTGCAGCTGGATAAGGGGATTATGTGGACCAGCTGGACATTCTTTCCATTTGATACCCCTGGAAAAAAACCCTCCTTAAAGACTGGCTATTACTACTGCTCGACTTTGTGGCTTCCTAACCTGGTGGATAAGATACTACACAGAGCTGACCGCTCACTGATTCCCCACTTACTGGCCTTAATTAGACCTACTCCTGCAGGCTGGAACAGCATAGACACTCTGGGCTCCCAGTACAGGTCTGTTACAAATGGTTCTAGACCTGTAGTATCTCTGTACCATACTTTTTTGCTGTTTAATTTCTTGGATGTTGAACTGTAACTCCCTGTCTGCACAGCAGTAAGTGCCCATCTGTCAATTGCTGTCCTTAGTTGTACCATAACTGGTTGTTTCTCCTGGGATCTGAGCTGTTTCCCCCCTTTACTGCATGCTGGTTACAAAATTTTTTGATTTGGTTATCTTTGATTTGGGACTTTTGTATAAGAATCTGTTTCTAATCTGATAAGCAAGCCTTTCAACAAAAGTATGTCTGCCTGGTGCTGTCCTGAGCATTACAGAACTTTGGTGACAAATACACTCACATAACCTGCCTTCTTTCTTTCTATTTGCTGCTTGCTCCTGTCATTAGCCAGTTTCTATTAAATGCATACCTGAAATCTATATTTTGAATTTTTGGGGAATAATTAGGGATACCGGGATAAGAGAGAATTCAGTGTATGTAGAACTGTGGTTCACAAGAAGCTCACAATACTATTAAACTGTTGCACCACTGGAAATGTCTTTGAAGTTCAGCTCTTTAGTTTTGTTTTTTTAAGAGTAAAATCTCCTATAGCTTTTTGATCTGCTATGGCTCCTCTTCCCACTGTTCAATTCAGGCCTGTTACAGCTAGATAAAAATAACTAGGGGTCACGTTCAAAACTGCTTTAAAAGCTTTTTGATTGGGGTACTGCTGCTGTATTTAAGCAAAGCTAAATGTAAAAGAGAAAAAAAAATTACACATCCAAAATATATGATGCCACAATCATTTTGTATTGCTTTGCTAAATGTTCCCCATGGCAGTGCCCAATTCCCCTTGCCCTTTTTTTAACTTAACATTGAAATTGGACAGAATTCAATATCAAGATTCAACCCTAATAGACTACAATGGAGTTTGATGCTAAGTTCGGGCACAGGACTTGATGATTCCCACCCTCCCTGTGATTTAAACATGGGAAGATTCACTCATCCATAGTGGCCACACATATAATTGCTGAAAAAAACACAAAACGTACAAACAGCGCTCTTGTAATGGTAATGAGGGGGTAAACAATGTGTGACCCTAAAACGTGTGCAGCCCTGAAACCCAGGAGGAGTGCCTGTGGATATGCAAACTAGAAACAAAAAAACCAAAAGGGCGCAACACTGGGTGGGCTAACTGACCGGGTCGGAAGACCCAGGGAAGGTGACAGGAAAATTGTGTGACAATGGGTGCAATGGGCGAAAAACCAATGGATAGCTGAGGAAAAAGAATAAGCACGTACATTTTAATTCATGCGACCAGAGGATGGACGGCCGGTGCGTAGGATCGGGTCATCCGTGGTGTCTACCTGGAACTGGTGTGCCGAAGGGTGTGCATCCACACGGGGAGAGGAGGCTGTGGGCGAGGGAACGGTCAGTTAGCCCACCCAGTGTTGCGCCCTTTTACATATAATTGCTGAGCAGACTGCTACAAGGAAACATTAAAAATTCAGCTCCCATTATGCAGTAGAGGCTGTTAGGGGCTATGTTTCTCTTTGCAGGCTGTGCTGTTTGTTAGTAGGTTATAGTGTAGAAGGTTATATACACATTATTATTATTATTATGAATATTTTTTTTTATTATTACCATTATACAGGTTTTATATAGTGCCAACAGCACTAAACGGAATATGTGCGTAGATCTACAGTATTGACTTTAAGTGCTGCCTACTTGTTTTGGGTGAGCAACTTTAACAGTATTTCTTGTATGACAGATAGACACCTAGCATATTCAAAAGGTTGGCAAGGGATGTCTGCATAGTCTCACATTACAGATTTGCTTTAAGGAGAGAGATGACTACTCCATTAATGAGGGTTTTCAGGTATTTATTAGTGGCACAATCCTTGTCAGGCTTCACTTTAAACCAGAATAGTGCCTAGTCAGTGCAGTTTATATAAGATGGTTAGGTCGACATTCTGCTTATTTTCTGTTTTTAATTAACTAAGTATTATTTTCTTTTTTTTATTTTAGAGAATGTCAAGACTTTCTTGCAATTCAACTTTGTCACAGGTACAAAACATAGGGTGGTGTCCTGCAATCAATGTTAGAACATTAACAGCCTTATTCATGAAAGTTTATTCATATATAAAACATATATTTTTAGAATTTTTTATTTACCCCTTCTCTACCATATAATTTCCATTCAGTATTTCAGTGGATTGCAGTCCATCTTTGTCAAGGCTTTGGCAAATATGAACTGTGATCCGATGAAACATAGGAGCGCATAAACTCCTCTGGTTTTGACATACACTCCTGTTCAAGACCCATGTGTGCCTCTACTACTTTCTATTTATCTACTGGTGTTACTTTTCTGCAGTGCACCCATTCAGATACTCCCAGGACGGTGCCCAGCAAAATGATGTCATTTCTATTTATATTTCTTACCTTTTTTATTGCTACACAAAACATAAAAAGTTTATTACAATATTTCATAAGAGTGCTTCTAAATTTAGATCACATCCTAGAGATGCTAAGATAATGAAAAAGGTATTTTTCAATAAATGCAAGGAACAATTAACCAGTGAGATTTTTGTACACAAGTATATAATAAAAACATTTAGATTGTGCCTAAGTTTATCAATAAGGCTTTTATGAATATGGCTTTAAAAGGACCATAACCCCCAAATCTGTTTACTAATTTCTTTGTATATATTTATTATTGAGAGATGGCTGTATATAATATTCTTGTTACAGGTTTACATGTAGATTACATGTAGTTTTCATGAAAATATGTCATTCTGGCCATAGACTGGCTTCAATTTCTAACTGTGATTAAGATCCAATAAATTCTTCCAAAAAACTGTTGAGTTTAAGGGGTTGATTTGTACTTAACAATGTGAATGCTCACTTAGATTAGTAAAAAAAAGTGAAACTGTGTTCACATCAATCATCCAATCATGTAAGCAAAAATCCTGTGTTTATTATATTGCACATTATTGGTTATTGAAGTATACATAGCTTAACCACATTCACTAAACTAAGTGCACATTCACTTTGAGAACTTAACATTCTCTACACATTTAGTAAAATCCACTGAGTAATGATCAGTTTACAAATTAGTACTTCTTAATTAGTAATGACTCTATTACAAGAGAAGAACCTAAGACATTGCCATGCCAAATAGCCTAAAATATGTCTCTAATAATCCAGGGCAGCCAACTGCCTCTAATAATCCAGGCATTCCTAATCCTGGGGACAGTGCCAACATTTTGCCTGTCTAGAAATTTCTATGATGAAAAAAAGGTACTTGATTTGGAAGAAAAGTTGTGCTGTCCTTATAACGTTCTCTTCAAGCCTTTGGACAGCATCCAAAAAGATGAGATTTTGCTCAGTTAGGAAAAACATTAACCGGTCTATGGCCAGTGTCATATGTTGACCAGTAGAGGTTACCATCTGGTATTTGCATTGTTTTTATTCTTGTTTTCATAATCACTTGATGTATTTTTCTAAAGCCTTATTTCTGTTTTTGTGTTTTTTGTTTTGAGAATTAACAAAAGTCAGATGGCTGTCACTTAGGGTTAACCAGAAAATATAGCCTAAATCTATTGCTGGAATGATAGCCAAAAATAGATGTATTTAAGACAGTGGGGTTGATTTACTAAGAACAAATAGGCTGTTCACTGTGAAAGAGAATTTTTACTTTGTGGTAGAACTTTTCCATTGCATCTATTTGTGGCTGTCTTTTTTGTCTGTTTGATAATAATGTTTGTGGCTTTAGATACATTTTGTCTAATGATCATGTCTCACATTTCAGTTGATTATGTCTTTAGCTCTCAGGTAGCCTTACATAGCCTCATAAAAGCAAGATATGCCACAAATGTGAGCTTTACCTTTTTCTTACCCATTTTCACATAGTACCTTTCTCTGTCATGTTGTATATTGACAAGAGAGCAAGCTTTTCAATGCCATATATATGTGTTGCCAGAAATGAGAAAATAGGCTGTGGTGCTTCACATTGGTTTATAATTTGAAAGAATTTGATGAGACCAGCCAATATTCTTAGTGAGGAAACAACCTATCTATGGCCACTTCAGAAGTGGAATAAATCACTTTTTTAGTTCAGGTCCACTTTAAAAGTTCATTAATGGCAGGTTGTACAAAGCTCTTCCCCACCTTCCCACAGACAAAGCCCATCCCCCCCCCCCTCCCTCTTGGTGACCTCTGACCTTTGACAAAACATATTTATGGTGCAAGAATCCTCACCCATGTGACATACTGTACATAGCCTGACAAGAAAGTATTATATTTCCTTCATTGGTGCTATCCTAATAAGGAAATATATAGTACTTTCTTGTTGGGTATTTATTTTATATGGAACAGAAATGTTAATGGTACCTAAGCAGTACCCTAAAAAATTTACAATTTTCTTTTCTCCTGAAAAAGAGCACTGCACTGTCTGTGCCTGGGTATTGTTCAATAGCTCTATATCTGCAGTGAGAAATTATCAAAGGCACAGAAGCCTATGACTTCTACTCTCAGAAGATTTGGAGTGAGATTTGGTGATGTCACTGATGTGCTGAAAGAGAAGTTGAACTTGGGGTCTGCATTGCAGGGATCTCATTGGTTCTGCTTCATCATCTGTGCTTTCTTCATCTCTCCTGATTTTTAGTCCACCATCAGTCATCAATTCACCAGTCATCAAGGGGTAGCTCTGTTAAGAGGAACCCTGCCTCTACTAAAATTACCACTTCCACATAGAGAAACAATGAGGAGCAAAGCAACTAAAACTATCATTAGTTTAAATGAATGAAATAAAACCACAGAAGGTGGTACCATAAGCGTAATATATTTTATGAGTTTATCTTGAAAACAACAAAGTGCAGTATGCCATGTAAATAAACTGGGTTTCTTTTTCTGTTGGTCTGACAAACTAAAAATTAATGTTGTTTGTGTATTTTGTATATCTGAGTTGACATTCCAATAGTCTAATCTATCTTCCTCTTTAAGTTTTAGTAAATAAATGCTTACTCATCTTAAAATGATGAAGGCGTCCTTTCTGTACAGTTCTTGCTTTGCTGGCTCTGTGATACCTAATGTCAGCAAATGTTCTTCTCTGCAGCCAGTTTGCCTAAAGAGACTTCACAGGATAGAAGAAAAAAAAAGTAGCGCTATTTATGCATTCTGAATATAATAAAAATAATGGCTCCAAAATACAATCTACTAAGAAAATATAGATAAGTCTGGAAACAAACACTAAATTCTGAAATGTCTAGGTTCAAAAATAACAGTTTTACTCACCCGATCCTCTCAGCCAGCTTGCTCTTAGTATGTGCTTCCTGAGCTCAAACATTTACAAGCAGATCTAGCTAGTAAGGACATATTTTTATTTTCAAAAATTCATTTTGCATTAGAGTCAAAAGCATTTTTATCCAGAGATAGTGCTGTTTAAGCACCAACAGAAATTCAGCAAAATCTTACACTCAAGGATTTTACCAAAATACATTCAAACCTTTGACCTATGTGCAGGGCCGGCCTTAGGTCTTTAGGCGCCCTGTGCGAGAAAGCTTTACAGCGCCCCTCAGTGACCACACCCCTCAGTGGCCACACCCTTTAGTGACCACACCCCTAGTAACTACACCCATTTATTACCCATATTTTTGGTAAAATATAAAAAGCGGGGTCACGTCGGGTAAATAGACACCAAACATGTCATGCTTTAAAATTGCGCGCACCCGCGAAATCGAAAAAAACTACCATGCCCAAAATTGACCATAGGTGACGCTTTAAAAGCTTTTACCGCTCATCAGTTTAGTGTTATCAGTGATTGATAGCCCTACAATTATTGCTCTCATGCTCGCACACCCCTAAGGCCGGCCCTGCCTATGTGTCAAAAAGTCACTACTGTTCAGTCAGTAAAGTGTTGAAAGGTGTGCCTAAGATTGCAGTTGGGTATATGCAGAGTCATAGAAAAGAATGTATATGTGAAGAGACTTAGAAGGTGATGCAAGAGAAAGACAAAACTACAACTGATGTTAATAATAAAAAGTGTGGGATACTAGAGAACTGGGGAAAAGTATAATTAAAGAAAAGAGGAAAATAAATTGCCAGGACAGGATAAAAGAAAATAGGTTAGAAATTTGCCAAAGTGATCCAGGAAGTAAAATACTTTGTTTACAAATATATAAAATCATAAGAGTTTTCTCAAATAGAAAACATACTAGTAGTAAACCTGTTACAAACAAAATTGAACACGGTTGTGAAACATAAAATTAGCAATTGTTAGAATGCATTATATTTACAGGCTTTTTTTAACCCCATGATCCTGGTTTTCAGAACTCTGTGACTGAAAAATAAAATATTAATACAAGGAGGAAATTGTGAAGAAAAATCAGTGTGTGAACCTCCAAGAGAAGAAGAAATAAAAAAGCACTAAAATTAGGCAAGGCTGTGGATAGGGATACCATGAACCCAAACATTATGAAGTCAGCACCAGGAATTATTACTAAAATAGAAGGAAGGTGTTTTGGTTAAAATGTATATAAACCCTGAATCTATTTTTCAGAAAGTTTGGCTTCAGGCCTCACTATATACAGTTTTCTTAAGTATATTGCTTTTTGTAAATATATTGCAAAGTTTCTTATCTGGAGATCCTGCAGGTAACGGCACTTCCTGTTGCAGGCTGGCAACCCTTACCTCACAAATGGCAGCAGCATTGTCAGCCAGCTGTGCATGCTCCTTTGGTTGATTGTTGGGCTGCCTATATGATACACTTGACAGCCAACTAAAGGAGGGCATGCAGCAGATTGACAACACTGCTGCTAATTGTGAGGTAGTGGTTTAATGTTGATTGGAAGTATTGTTACTGGCAGGATCTCCATGGAAGAAAAAATATATCTGTTTAAGAAAACTGCACGCAGTGAGATCCATTGATAACATGCAGAAAAATAGATTAGGGTTTACTACACTTTAAGATGCCTAAGAAAGAGGAAAATGGCATAGTATCACTCTGTCACCTGTACTTACTGAAGCCTACCTAATTACTTAAGAGACGATGATTAAAAGTGAATGAAAATGAGAAAAGACTACAGACAGGTTTTTAAAAAATAAGATAGATTAAATAAATGTACTGCAAATTATTATTATTATTATTGTTATTATTATTATTCCATAAAACACAGATCTCCAATATACAGAACTATTTTAGAATTTAGAAATAGCATGGAAAGACTAGACAAATGAAGTACACAATGATATTTAAAAAATGTAGGAAAAAAAATATTTTTTATTAGGTATACATACAAGACTAGAATGTTTCAGTTTTTTTACTTTCTCCTCTTATTTATTGTGGTTGTAGATGTCGTTATGTGGAATGTTATGGAGAATGGTAAAATATGTTTACAATGGGGCATCTTGGGAAGATTAGAATTAGAAAACATTTTTAAAGTGTATGAATAAAGATTGGTCTTACAATAAATTTTTAAAAAGAATATAATGAGAACTATTGTACCAACTAAAAGAATTCTGCTGCTACCAACTAAAAGAAAAAGTCAAAATATACAAACAGTTCAAAATGGCACACACCTACCTAAATACAAGACTCAACCTAGGAGTAAAAGAAAAATTACAGTATTACTAGTACTTCTCACAATTGCTGCAGGAAAAAATACTTGAGCACGTGCATATATGTTATTATAATTTAGGTTTTAAACAATCGTAAAACATATAATTGTTTAAAACAGCAAATATTCATTTTGACTATGCACTATTTCAAACTTTCTGAATAACTAATTTCTCTCTGATTTTATAATAGTAAACTTAGCAGCTTAAACTAAAAATAGTAATCTACATTTTGTTAAATTCATATTTGTATTTCACTTACTATGCTAACTCCCTATAAATTATATAAAAATGCAGCATGATGTCACCCGTCATGAGGTGACTCTATGGGGTTGATTTACTAACCTTATAAACACGCCATGAACAAGTATACACCTCTGTAGTGTGTTCCCTTCCAGCATGATCTATTGGTGGAATCTAGACACCCTTGTAGTGTTTACACACCCAGCAAGTGTGTTATGCAAAGCCCTGCATGAATTGCAAGGTGATGTTGTGTAAATTAGCTCTACATTGTGTTGCTTGCGTTGATGAATGCAGGAATGTAAATGCGTGAGCTAACCATTTTTGTCTAAACTGTGAAGCAGCATTATATATGCATCATGTGCATGATTTTTCCATATATGGCATTAGTGGAAATATGCTTTTAGAGACTTTTTGGTTGATAAATACGTTTTGCTGTGTACAAATCACACGCACCTAGTGCGTGCGTGTGTTTAGGTTAGTAAATCACCCCCTATATCTGCATTCTATTTACGTTCACATGGGGAAACGCTCTCTTTTGGAATTAATTGTATAATCTGGCAGTAAATATTAATGTAGTTTATATCTGGCAACACAGCTAAATGGAAATATTGTCAAACTTTGACCCTATTTTTTTTAACTGTGACTGCCTGAAGATATTCAAACAGGTAATTTGAAGAAAATGCAATTTTATATCCCCTAGTGATTTTCAAACATATTTTCTTCATATAACTGTAATAGGTGAATACTTGTTGTAAACAAATAAAGTAGCACAATAAACACAGTTATCTTAAGGCTAAAGTATAATCTGAAGTCCGAGGCCTTAAATAAAAGATTAACACTGGTAATAATAATGGTTTGTTCCTGTTAAACATGATTCAGTGCCAGTGCCTCCATATAAAGAGTAAAACACACTCAATATGCTGCATATGTGTATTTACATTAAACTAAACAAAGTGTAAGCAAAACCTACACTGGACCTTGAAATGAATAACTTTATTATCAGTTGTATGATTATAAATTTAAGATGCACTAAAAAAACATTACAATCTGGTTGTAAGATATCTTGTTTTGCTGTTGTAATCATATCGTCTAACGCCTACAATGTCTACAGTATGGTGGTGCTTTCTAACAGATGTTATTGTAAGTTCTTATCAGGTCAAATGGAATACTGATCAGATAAGGCATACAGTTTCCTGCTCTACCTAGCTGTAACATGTGATGTGTTCGTATTTGTGATTATAATGTGCATTACATAGATTGTAAGGACATCAATTGATTGTATTTTGTATTTGTATTTTGTATAAAAAAGAAAGCACATGGCATGTAGTAGCAGGCTGTGAGTAGATGTTTTGCGTGGAAGAAGGAATGATGATCTTATTGTGTAACAAGTATAACATGTGTGTTCAGCATAGGAAATTAAATATTGCTTGTTTTGTTTGACTTTGTCTCTTTAAAGGAGTTGTAATGTCCCATCATATACTATCCTGTTATAGCATCAGAATTGTAATAGGAATAGATATTAGAGTTATTTTTGATAATGCAATGCAAATACTTGAAACATCCCTTTTATGTAGTGAGTGCTGCTTTATGTCTGCCCATCACTTTCATCAACTTCCTGGATTCCCAGTCAGTGTGCTTTGTATCTCTCTCCTTGCTGCTTAATGTGACACAACCTTGATTTCTCAAGACTACATATCCTATTATGCATTGCTTCCAGAAAGCAATGATTTTGTTATATTGTTGGCAATTCCTGTGTTCACTATGAAAGATGGGGAATGACTGAAGTTTTAGTTTGGACATCAGGCATGGAGTAAGAAAGTACATATTCGCAGGGCTAAATGAATTTGGATTAATGCTTTGAAGAAGTGCATTCTATGGGCATTTTCAATAAGTAAGTTTACAAACTTCTTGATAAAAGATGGTTATTATCAGTGGGATAGAACCTGTGGAAATTCAATATAGAATGCATATAGATTTGTAGTTTTGACCATAGATACTCTGTAATACTAGCAACTAAAAATACAATGTCATCAAAGACAATTATAGCCAAATAACCCAACTTTAAAGTTTTGAAATATTTTGTTTTTCAGACAGAACCCAGGGGAAATGGCAGTGTAAATAAAAGGCTATCCTCCATCGTGGAAGATGATGATGATGATGATGATGACACAGGGGAGGAAGATGCTTCATCTCCTATACGAACGAGGAACACAAAGTATAGCAAGACTTCAAACAGTTCTCTAGGGATTAACCTGAAAGCATTCTCTGGAAATGTCCCATACAAGTCACCAATGAAATCTTCAAATTTTAATCCTGCAAAAACAAGAATAGAAAATGAAGCTCACCTTAACAGCAGAAGACGGGATAGGAATTTAAGGCTTAACCTTCCAACAGTAACAAGCCTAGGACCACCAGATTTAAGTCCCAGGTGCCTCTTTCATAACCTATTTTTCAGCCTATCTCTTTATTTTTCAAAGGCTTTTACATTGTTAAATTGAACCTACTACCTTGATTCCCAAAGTCACTAATGTCATGTAAAGTGTTTGCATTTTAGCACATAAATAAGAGCACCCTAGTAGGATTGAAAAGCATCTGTAAGAAATGAATGGCTAGTAAAGGGTATAAACAAAGCTGCACAGGATGCTTCCTTCCAAACAAACAAATTAAAAGGTTTGCATATATAGATGTCATATTTCTACAACATAAATTTCTCAAAATATCTTTACTATTTGAAGTTATCATTTGTCAGACATTATCTTACTGTTCCTAAATTGTACTGATTACACCATTTACTGCAATGCCACCCTATATATTATACCTACTAATATTCCAGGCATTACTTATTTATGCATACCATGTGAACTTGTTAGTGCAAGTCTGCATTAAATACATTCCTAACGTATCACACTATACAGCAACAGTATAGTCTTATATAAAAAAGCTCTATCTTTTATCATTTAAAGGTAAACTCCAGGTAAAAATGTTTATGTACATTAAAGCCCAGCTTGGGCCAATATAAGTACATATTTTATACACGGTAGGGTCTTAGGGATCCTGTAAAACATTGTAGGAGCTTCAGCTACTGCAGTGCTTAACAGCAATCCTCCAGGTCCTGTATGCCACTCATTCATCAATGAATGTAAGGCATTTTCTGATTGGATGAGGGGACAACCACGATTTCACCGCCATTTGTCAAGTCATAGAAACCCTGGCATTTTAAAGTTCTTATTCCGGCTTCCCAAATGAGTAGTGCAGGTGCCTGCACAGTGCAAATACCTCTATTTGCAGTGCAGTAATACAGGACTTTGTGCTGCTTTGATATAGAATAAAACACAAATCAGTGTGGGACTGTATAAAAATTCATTTCAAAAAAGGTTAGGTAAAAGTTTCACTTCAAAATAAAAATGTAGCTTGATGCTCAGTCCACTTTAAGAAGCAATTGTGAGGTTTTATTTAATACGGAAGACTTTGTTGAGTTTTAGTAAATCAAGTCTGTTTTAATTTTTGCCTTTGTGCACCTCACTCTCATTCTTATAACCAAAATATGATTATAGTGATCTTTACATTTGATAATCTTTTATTTAGAAAGTGTTTTTTAGCACCCCCAAAGCACATCACATAACAGAACGCTGGAATCACTTTAACGCTCATGTTTTTCTGCTATTATCTAGGTCAGATGTTAATTACATTTTTATCCGGGGACTTCTGAAGTATTTAGCTTGAGGCAAGGCGAGCAAACTATCCTAATGTAATACAGCAACCCTCATGACTGCAACATGATGAAATGGTAGTTGTCTTCTACTGGGATTCTGTTTTATGACCAATTAGATCTACATACAGTTGTGTAAGTTCAGCAACTGGTACCCGCATTGCTGGTGTAGTGGGACAGGACTGTCAATGAAGTGCAGCAGAGGAAAGGACTGGAGGTATTAAATCTCCAGTTATTTATTCTAGGTTTCTATATTACAATCAAGAGTAAGTGCCATCATGAGTGACATTCAGAGCTATTGTTATCCTCAGCATTCCTTCCTCTGCAACTTGCCTACTCATAAAATCCTAATTTTTAATAAATTTATGACATGCTGATTGTAAAAAAGCATTTTGATTAATCATAATTAAAACAAAATAATTACTCCAAAATGTTTTCAATAACTAGTTTTAATAAAGAAGCACTTATTTTCTAAGTATGCCCTGAAATTGGCCATATGCATAAGTTGAAAATTAATGTATCTGGAAAACTTGCCAGGCAGATCAATTTTAAATCTCATTGCCCCTTATATGAAATGGTAACAAGTTCTTTGAACTCCTTACCATGTATCATCTACATACTGTGAAAACCCACTGACCCTAAAAGATCCTATTTTTCAGTTCACTTCACAGGACATTCAAGTATAAAGATCTGATCCTGCACATTCAGAGATTGCTGGCAGGGCAGATTGTATCAAATCTGCCCACCTGTAGATAGTATAAATCCAAGGTAATTTTTTAGAATAGAAGAACATTTTCTTCACAAGTGCATAAGTTTAGCAGTTGGTAACAGCATTGCTGGCATACTCGGAGATGACTGTCAATGAATGATAAAGTGCAGCAGGAAATAGCACTGGAATATTAAGGGGTTTATTCACATAGCTGCTGAAGGCAGTCGAGTGAATAACCCAGCCGAAGTGAAGTGAGCTGAACAACGTTCGGCTATTCACTCCGGCTCAGTACAGCTGATTGCAGCTGTACATCAGCTGCAATCAGCTGTACATCGAGCACAAAGAGTTAAAGAAAACGTTGAAAAAATATTTTTAAAAGGTAAATAAATTATCAAATTAAAAAATAAATAAAGTTTTTTTTTAAAGAAAAAAAAAATTGGGCGGATCTAGCAGTGCCAGCTAGCTCTGCCCAACTGTTTCCTGTTGGCCAGCACCTGCTAAAGTCTTCTAACAGGTCCTAGCCAATGAATAACAACTGGGCGGAGCCGACCGTGAAGTCAGTTGTTATTGTTTAATGACAGATCAGCGTCCCCAGGTCATTTGGGGATGCTGATCTGTCATTACAACTGGGCAGAGTCAGCCATGAGATTACAGCTGCTTCGCCCCGCTTTGGGGGTCACTTTGGCTCAGTCGAGCCGAAGCATATGCCTTTGGCTTGGCAGAGATCACTGGCCTCCTTTGGCTGCTGTACGGGCTATAGTGAATAGCCTGTACAGCAGCCCTATGGCATATGGCTCCGGTGGCCAAACAGAGCCGAAGGATCAGCTGAAGCTACAGCTGGATCCTCCAGCTCCTTCATTAATAACCCCCTAAATGTCTAGTAAATTATTCTAGGCAACTATATTGCCTACAAGAATAAGGACCATCGTAAGTGACATTTAAAACGATTGATAGACTTAGCTTTCTTTACTCTGTAGCTTACCTACTTTTTTATTATAGATATATGCTGTTACATTTATTGTAAAAACATTTTAATTAATCAAGATCAAAACAAAGTAATTACTTAAATACAAATAAATAAATAAATAACTAGTTCTAATGAAAAAAAACTCTTCTAGTCTCAGTATGCCAAAAAGTGGCCATGTAACTGAAAAAATGAATGTGTCTGAACTGAGATTTACCATACTAGCAGATCTACAAATACCCAAATATCTGGAAAACTTGCCAATCTGCCAGACAGATCAATGTTATCTCTCATTGCCCCTTTTATGAACTGGTAACAGGTTTTTTGAACTTCTTATCAATTCATCTACATGCTTTAAAAGCTCACTTGCTCCAAAGAATCCTTTTATCAGGTATCTTCACAGGACATTTAAATATTAAGATCTGATCCTGCAGATTTGAGGGATTTTGTCATATCTGCCCATTTGCAGATAGTATAAATAGTGTAAATTCATTAAAAAAAAGAAACATTTCTGTTGCAATAATACAGTATGAAGCTGCCTTTTTTCCCATGATAATACAAGGGTAGGGAGCTGTTTTACCTGCCAAAGGACTTTTATTATGGTTCATGCAGTCTTGATATTTACACACCCCAGCCACACAGGAAAGCGAAGTGGATGCCATTAACGTCAGCCTTCTAAGCCTTCTGCCTGAATGGTGAAAAATGCAGCAGAAGACTGATGTGGTCATACCTTGACCCACTCTGCTCTCTCCTCCTATCGGCATTATCCTTGCCAACCAATCTGCATGCATCATACCAGTTTAGTTCCCAGTCCTGCCCCTCCTTTTCCCATCTGAGTGCTGCTGTATAGGGGATTGCATGAAACTGATACTAAGTCAAAATGAGTTACTTACACTCGTTGCATTTAAGAAAATACATTTTGTGATTCATTAATGAATAGGAGCTGTAAAATATTATTAAAATTATTATTATACGGGATTTATATAGCACCAACAGTTTACACGGCACTTTACAAATAAAGGGAGACAGTACAGTTACAACACAACTCAATACAATATGAGGGCCCTGCTCGTGAGAGTTTACAATCTAAATATTAATGTTTGATGAATAATATTTGTTAGGTTCCATTAGGTGCCATTTAAACTGAATATATACCTATGTTCATTAGAAAGAAATAACTGAATCTTGAAAAATAAATACAGGTCATGCGCTTCCTTACCACCACTTTATAGAAATGGCTGGTATCAGAACCAAATGGACCAGCTCTGTGACTTGTGGTTGATGCAATTGGTTATCACAGTGAACCCATTGCAAGTTTACATTTGCCAAGGACTTCCCTTCCTCTTAAGCCAGAGGAAGGGGAGAGAATAGGAACTAATGAATGTATGAATTATTCATTCATTAAATCTTAGTGAAAACAAGCTGCAGTAGCAATAACAAATACAGTAAATTTCACCCACCTCCTCTCCTGTATATACAGGTGAAACTCGAACAATTAGAATATCGTGCAAAAGTAATTGCAGTAAGTGCTGCAAAAGGGGCCCAAACCAAGTACTGAGTACATATGCATGCTTGTACTTTTCAGAGGTCCGATATTGTTCTATGTACAATCCTTGTTTTATTGATTGCATGTAATAATCTACTTTTTTGAGGTTGTGGATTTGGGGTTCTTGGGGTTTTCATGACCTGTAAGCCATAATCATCACAATTATGACAAATCACGGCTTCAGTTATCTTGCTTTGCATGTAATGAGTCTATCTCATATATTAGTTTCACCTTTTAAGTTGCATTAGTGAAATAAATGAACTTTGCACGATATTCTAATTATTCGTTTCACCTGTATCTGCTCAGTTCTGTCACTGCATATAAATGACTTCACCTCCCTTATCACGCAAATCTGTATATTTCTCCTCATTCTGTATATGACCTGTACATATAATGTATCTAGGGCACCAGTGCTATATGTTTGAACCCCCTTAATACCAGCATGTTTCTCAATTTCCAAAATATTGTATCAAAAACTGAGGTCACCTTGGGGTGTCTGCTGTCCAAAAAGCTGTTTTTTTACGGTCCTGGCATTTTTATTTGCTATGTTTTATAACAGAAAATAAGGATCAGTTTTTCTTTCAAATGTTTTGGTCTTTTTTTTTATGCAGTAAAAACAGTCAATAAATACCACCAAAAGAAAGCTATAGCTGTCTCAAAAAAGTTATATAAATTTCATTTAGGTACAGTGTTGCATGTAATTATCAATCAAACACCATTGACAACTAAAACATGGCCTGGTAATAAAGGGGGTTTACTGTGCTGGTCCTCAAGTGCATAAAATAATACTTGAAGCTCCTCTGCCTGCCATGCATGCCCCTCTCCTCTCCCCCTCCACCCTAAAAATTGCTGCTATTAAATTTTTTTTAATCAAAACTACCTGATATCTCTGGTGATGTGGCGCTCCTGTGCCCAGTTTTTTTTACTGAAGAAGCCCAATTAAACCACCACTGGGCTGGTCAGCCAGGCTGCATATACAGTAATAAACCTTTCGTTTTTTACTTTTTAATTGCTGCAGCAAGTATTGAAATACCCTGTGCTGCCAGCATATGTGAGAATTGGACTGTGCCTCTCACACACAAAGCAGCAGTCCAGCTTTCCAACAGTCTGACAGGCTCCTACCCGAACACTGCTCTAATCAACAGTGATGAGAGCGATAGAAATATTAACATGTTATAAAGTGAAGCAATTGGGCACACGTCATATGCATTTAATTTTTAAATAATCACATGATACAAATTTATACAAAAGGGGTGTTATGTTTCAGGTGTGCCTAGAGTAGCATGATGCTGACATCGTACATCAGATTGCAGCTTTCAGACATTTATAGAAATGGTTGCACATGTCATGGGTTACTTCAATGTGCACTACATCCTTTGCTTTAGCTTTACACCTATTGGATTCATTTTTCTATGCTTCTTTTTTTACATCAGGCACTGTATAAAACTTTTAATTTAAATCTGACAAGCTCCTTTTAATTTTTCTAGCATTAACATATTAAAAAACACAGGGAATTAAACTCATTCACAATTTTGAGCCTGTTTCACTTTTAAATGCAGCCTTTTTAGTCATAATAGGGGTATGAAAGGCATCTAATAATAGTGACATGTTATCTATTCTGCCCTTTTATTCCTCATGTCTTGACACACAGGAAATAGAAAAACTGACCTGGATCCTCTGCCTCAGGCACTCACAAGTACCAGCCTCAAATGATTGACACCTTTCACAAATAAAAGGCAAAGCAAGAATGTCAACTAAACTAAAATAGACTCAGCAAGGGGCACTCATTTGTCTCTGTATATAATACATGTATCACAGTCAAGCAGCGTAGCTCCATTTCACATATATGTTTTATGTAAGCTTCATCCATCTATGCAGTATTGCAGATGATGGTATGGAAGTCTCACTAAAAAATGTGTGTTTAAAATTATTTTTAGTTATAGTTAACATGCACCCATGGTGTAACTAGATGTATAATAATCATAGAATTTGCCTTTGCTCACGTTTATATAAAGTTAAAGTGACATATAAGCAAATTGTATTGTACAGGCCATGATACATTATTTGTGCCCCAGGCTTTAAAATAATCACATTGTCAGCAAATCATCGAGTACATTCAGGCTTGTAAAGGGATTTGCTCAGTTGTCCATGTCTAAAGACCCTAGTATACTGAAAGGAGACAGAACCTGCAGTCATTAGTTTACCCAAATTTGTTATTTTATACTACAAACTAATTGTTTATGATACTACTAATGATAATAATAATTTTAACAAAATAGCAACACTAATAATAAGGAAAATATTAATTTAAACTAGATAATCTACCCTTCTGTAAATTATAAGGATGGAAGAATTCGCTGTGGAGCTCAATGTCCATGTAAACACGCAAGTTCATGGGTTAGAGAACTCCAGGACAAAATTTTATATTTTCAATAATGAATTGCCAAGGATGTTATTCCTTCTAACACACTAACAGGGTTATTCACAAAGCTAGTCGAAGGATCAGCCGTAGCTCCGCCCAGTTGTTATTCATTGGCCAGGACCTGCTAGAAGAGTATGAATGAATCCTGTCCACTTAATGAACATGCAAACATATTCACTTAGTGCTTACCTACAGCTTAGACTGTCAATAGCACTGCTGTAATACATTGGGTATTCCCTACTACCATTGCAAACTCTGTTGTACACCTCTATATTGTAAGTGCAAGTGGTCTATTTATATTGCTTTAATACTTTACTGTTACTGAATAAGGTGGTACTTGTTATTAGGATGCAGGCCTTGAAGGCTCACAATGAGTTATATTGGTAATCTCAGAATGGGACAGACAACAAACATTAAAGCTAATGTCCAGCCTTACCTTCACACCTAGGCATTTTGTCACTCAAAGCTAAGTACGTCAAAACGCTTAAGACAAGGAATTCCATTCATTCCCACCATGGCCCCTGTTCACACCTGAGCATTTTGTCTGACCATGCACAATTCAAATTTCACATGATTTCTGTGAATCCGCTGAAATTCAAGCTGGGTTGCCCTGACAGTTCAACTGAAAAATTGAAGGAGTTGGGTGGAAAATTGTTGTCCAAACAGTGACTGCAGTCAATCCGCTGTGGTCATTGTTTGGTTATTCAAGCAGCCAGCATATTGTGATGTCATACCACATGTTAATGCACGCACAAAAATGTGTACATAGGATTAAATGGGCCCTAGGATCCAGCTAAATATTTTAGTTTTAGTTTTGGAAAGTTAACATTTCTGTCAGGTTTTTATTTTTGTCTGTGATCCCATTAGAGTAATGCTCCCCCATTTTTTCGTTTGCCTGTACAAGAAATGGGGGTGGGGGTATGGATGGTAAAGGGACAGGAATTCTCAGACAACAATAAAAAATTATGTCCAAGGTTCTAATCCTTCATCACTGTAATGAAAATGTGTTTTTGTCTGTGTTTTTGTTGGAAACACGTCTCATCTCCTGAGTAAGTGAAGGAAACTTTACCCATTAGGAAAATATACAGTGATTAAAATCCTTCCCCTCTCTATTCAAATAAAAAACAAGTTTAGGTGGGAGTGGTGAAGTAACTGTGGGTTAGGTAAAATTGGGCTCCAGATGAGCATACAATAAACAATGTAGTCTGTTGGTCATTCTCTGCCCACCACTTACTCCCCGGATGAATATACTTCACCTAGAGTAATAGTGAATATTTTTACCTGGTGAATATTCCAAAGGACCACTTATCAGTTCACTATGGAACAAAATGGCAGCAGGTTCCCTTAACAGGGAGTTTCAAGGGAACTCCTTACCTGCATACTATTTGTGAGTCAATAACGCAGAAAGATTAACATATAGATCAACGTAACAGTCAGGCAAGTTGCATTTGTTAAAGGAGAGTTCAGCAATGACAGCCTCCATATATACAATTATTTTACCAAAAGAGTAGTTAACGCTTGATGGAAAGGTTTAAAAAAAAAAAAAGATGCAAAGTGCTAGATGGTCTTGGTCTTTTTCTGTCATCACTGTTCTATGTTTAGTTAAAAAGACACCATTGTAAAGGTCCATCATGCTCAATTCAGGTGTGGCAACAATGCCACCAAAAGTGTCCGATTAAAAAATGTATAAGATATTGTAGACATTTTTCTTTTAATAACTAGACACATTTATGCTTTATTGTTATTCATCATTTATAAGATAAGTGAACATTAAACCATTAAAACATTATTCCAGTGGGGGGAAAAATACCCGTAAATGTAAATACAAAAGGTATCACACACAGTACTGCATTATTTTTTGGAACAAGCATATTAATACAACTACAATCCCTGTACCTATGATATATTAGTTAAATCATGTTAAGATTACATCCTACAGGTCTGAAATGCACCCAATGTATTAAACAGTGATTACATTTTTAATTTAACAGAGTTGTTGATGGGATTGAAGATGATAATGGTAACGAAGAAGGTCAAGCATTTGACTTTGAAGCTTATCAAATGAGGCAACAAGCACGATTAAGTCAAACTACAGGAGGTAATGTATACTAGTTGGGTAAAATGGATTAACATTACGATATTACTTAGTTACCTATTAAAAGCAAGTAGTATAATTTAATGTAATAATGAATCTTTTTGCCTTATACTACATAAAGCTTTGTATGTATGAGCTTCTGAAAATATGGTCAGATCGGAAACAGAGCAGTATGAAGGCCAGGGAGCTTTGGCAGGTGCCTTAGGCTTGAGTCTCCCACCACCTTAAATAATTGCTTCTTCCTCTAAAAGCAAACTCTCTGCTCTCTGAAAATGCTTTACAATTTGAGGACTGCAATAAGTCTTTAGTGCTGATTTGAGAGGAAAGTAGCATATAAACAGCATGGATTGCTTTTTCTATATTAGGTAAAAGATTGTTTGGCAACTTCAGTTTTTTTTGAGAGGACCAGCAATCTGAATAAATACATTATTAAATACTCTTTTTTGAAAATCATATACATATATATACCTTATATGTTAATCATAGCTGTCCTGGGGAGGTCTAATACCAAGTGGAAGGTACAGAGAATTGTGCCTATGTCCACCTAAGAGCTCTGTATACATCTGACAGCTGTATGCCATGCAGCATAGTTACCAGCATAGTTGCCAGCATAGTTTAAAGTGAGCCTGGGAGAACAGAATACTAGTGCTGCCATTGGTGACTTGGATTTAAAATGTGCAGGCTTTTGGACAGTCATCTGCCATTTAAGTCACTGACCTGCAACAAGCAGCTGCCATATTTCTATCCTGACAGATTAACTTTAAAAAGATACTAAACGTTCTAGAAGATAGAGGTAAGGATTGTAAAACTACTGAAAGTGTTTTTATAACATAGTTGTAAACAAGACAAATGCTGGCTTTTCAAAACTGGCAAACAAATTAAGAAGTATCTCTCTGTTCTGAAAAATTACTATTCCCAATTGAAATAGATTATTCAAAAATAAAATCTGAGTATCATTACTGAGTAACAATGTATTTAATTTTATGATGCATGTAGTATTTTAGTGAGCCCACTGCTGAGAAATATTAACACCTGGGTCCTAAAATTTGCCTTCACCATTTTCTCTAGAAGCTTTGCTAAATTACCTTGCAGAACTGAGATTGGGAGCACTAATGCAAATCCTACGCTGCCTCCAATAACTATCTGTCAAAATCAATTTATAAGTTTATGGTAGAAGTCCTTAAAAACCTTAAAGAACACCACATTTCAATATTCTGAATCTAATTATTCTGTAAGTGTATTTAAACTGTCTAAATTCTATCTATAGAAATAAAAGTGCTCTAAGATATTATAGTAAATCTTCAGCATAGTCATCTAGGTTCCATAGGAAATGAAATTTCCTTGCTGACATTCAAGCTAACAGTGTGTTTTCTAGGTAACATGACAGCTCATTGACCCAAATTTATCAACCAGCATAATTTACCACACAAGGGAAAATACCACTTGATACATTATTATATAGATCTGATTTACTTGAGATAAAATTACACTATTAGATAAATGGGTCACCAACATGCAAAATACATTCCATTAAGATGACAAATTGTTAAGCAGGTTTTTTTTTATCTTTACTTGATATGCAGTATGCTCATCTTTTGTATTGTACAAAGCATTATAGAAGGTTTATATTTGGAGTGGTAAACTCATCTAAATTAGATAAATTAGGTTGAAACGGTGCATTCCAAAGGAATATCAGCCACACATAGGTTTGTATTACAACCAATGCAAATAACCTAAGTATTTCTTGTAATTATTAAAACATGTGGGAGTTAAAGTGGACCTGTATTCAAATGGAAACGTGGAGCTTTGTTAACAGTAAAGAAAAATAGCGGGTTAATAAGCTTACTTTTCCTGGATAATATTCTGGGGTCTATTCACGAAGCTGCCGAAGGATCTGGCCGTAGCTTCGGCCGATCCTTCAGCTAGCTTCAGCCCCAGGACATGGTTTTTTTTAACAGCAGCAGAGCCGCCAGACAATAGAAAACTATTGGGCGGAGCTAGCTGTCACTGCTAGCTCCGCACAATCGTTTTCTATTTACTTTTTTGTACTTTTTTCACAATTTCTCTGTTCTGCTCGGTCCCACAGAGGGAGCGAGCAGAACAGCCGAGCCCATTCGGCTATTCACTCATTTATACGTGACTGTTAATATTTTGAATTTTATCCTCTCGGCATCTATAAGAATAGCCCGAACAGCAGTGAGAAGCCTGCCGGAGGTTCGGCTCAGCCGATCCAGATGTTGGATCGGCTGAGTCGAACTCCTTCTGCACTTCGGGTCGGCCGAACATGCTGAGCATGTTCAGCCGAAAACCGAACTTCTAGGTCAATGTAAATTAAGCACAGGCTAAATTTGACTAAGTTCTATCGAGCTGCTTCTAACATAGCTATGACAATAGGGACAGTGAAGGAAACCAATAATTTCTTCTAGCATTTAGAGCAGTGCCTTTTGGGAAAACATGTTCACAGATTGCTGTGCTTGTTCTAAAAGTGTCTCCTCAGCAACACACATACAGCAGCAATATATTGCCAAGTCAATCCCCTCCCAGTAACATATTCATTAAATCAACTGCTGGCAAGTAACTCTGTTACAGCCGTGTGATCTTTCCTGCTGTGTCTTTCTTATTGTTGATGTGTTCATGTAATTGGAAAGCTGCAGCCTCTATTTCTGTTTCTGTCAACAATCTGAAAATAATTGGAGTATTTATGTATTTAATCATCAGTCCTCTGTTTGCATGAGTAAATGTTTATGGGATTCGTTGCATTGTATATTATTATTATTAATATTATACAGGATTTATATAGCGCTAACAGTTTGCGCAGCACTTTACAATGTAAGGAAGACATTACAGTTACAATACAATACAAGATGGTAAGGAGGGCCCTGCCCCTGAGGGCTTACAATCTGAAAGAGGAGGGGGAAATGATACATAAGGAGGGAGCTGTGTGGGGATATCTGTGGTGACAGGGTCAAAAGAGGAAAGTAACAAGTGTGATGGAGGATCAGGTACTATAATAAAAGGGGCAGTTGATTGGACAGTGACAGTATGGGGTATGGGGTTGATTTACTAACCTTACAAAACACGCCACGCCAGCATGATCTATTGGTGGAATCTAGACACCTTTGTAGTGTGTACACACCCAGCAGGTGTGTTGTGCAAAGCCCTGCATGAATTGCAAGGTGATGTTGTGTAAATTAGCTCCACATTGTGTTGCTTGCGTTGATGAATGCAGGAATGTAAATGCATGAGCTAACCATTTTTGTCTAAACTGTGAAGCAGCATTATATATGCATCATGTGCATGATTTTTCCATATATGGCATTAGTGGAAATATGCTTTTAGAGACTTTTTGGTTGATAAATATGTTTTGCTGTGTACAAATCACACGCACCTAGTGCGTGCGTGTGTTTAGGTTAGTAAATCACCCCCTATATGTGAATAATATATAATTAATTTCCAAAATCATTGAATAAATGTAGATTTAATTGTGGGCTTTGTGGACTGTTAGCAGTATGGGTACTCTGCTGTGTCAGTAATACACATTTTAAATACGATGAATATCTTAAACAAACTTTCCTTTAACAAGATAAAGAAATTATTTAGCAAGTGTGTGTGGTGAAATGTAATGTCAGGTCACTTTTTCTAATAAAGTGTAAAATGCAGTCTACCTGTGTTCATTTCAAATATTTAATCATGTTAAGATATAGCTATATATATTTTTAATTCGCTTACACATGAATAGGTGTGTAAAATGAACACATGTGCAGTATACTTCATCTCACAATGTAGTAAATCAGGCCAAGTTTCACTCACATCTCAATTCATGCTTCAGTAAATCAGGCTCCATGTGAGAACTGCACCATTTTCCATATATACAGGTGAAACTCGAATAATTAGAATATCGTGCAAAGTTCATTTATTTCACTAATGCAACTTAAAAGGTGAAACTAATATATGAGATAGACTCATTACATGCAAAGCAAGATAATTCAAGCCGTGATTTGTCATATGAAGTTGGTGAGCGATGCAGCCCACACATGAGTTAATTATTTGATGAAGTTGGTGAGCGATCAACCCACACATGAGTTAATTATTTGGGGCGGGGCTTACATTTGTGATGCATCTATACCCAAGAACAAAACTGTCAAATATTGCAACGCGCAAGTCCTTAGAAGTGGAGGATTCGTTCATTTACTTTTTTCAGGCTTTTTTCCCCTTTATTTTGACCTCGTGATCCTGCCAGTAACACACTTCCTTTGCTAGAGTGACAGTGTTCACTCACAGTTTTAGCCCTGCAATTGTTAGATCTGTGGTCTAGAATTCCCCTAGAAACCTCCTGTATGCTATCAATTAGAATTTTAGGACATTGTAATCAGAAGGAGGGAAAAGAGTCTGGTGGCATAGAAGCAGGGCATTGCTGACACTACCCATTGGAGCTTGCTTATTGTTTATTCTTGCAGGAGATAAGGAGGTGAAAACATGGACATACAATGGGGTTTCTGGGATACTTTCTTAAATGCAATGCTTATAAGCAGCCATCAACCAGGAAATCTAAATTGGTAGAACCATTGATGATCCCAGTAAAGCTCACAAGGACCAGCAGGAGAAACAAAAACTAAAAGGTTATTTGTACATTGCTAGGTATATTAGAGAAGATCTCCAAGCAAAAGAAAAATATTTGCTATAGTATGTAAATGCAAACTTGTTTAGATCACTAAATAAAACCATGTTATAGTGAAATTTGAAAAGTTCTAAACCTTACAGAAAAAAAAATTTGCTGTGTGCCTGCCTTATCTTAAAGCTGAACTCCAGGGAAACAGTTAAATACACAATTAAAATACATTTAAAGGAGCTGTTTAGTTACTATAGACTAAATGTATATGCAACCTGTGACAAACGCTTGTGGAGAATATATCTGTTTCTACATAGGTATTGAAGCAGTCGCTCTCAATACTCGGGATAGCCCAGTCCATGTCCACTTGAGGGACATCAGGATGTTGAAGTCAAGTAGATGTGAGTGTTAAAAGCCCAATAGTACATGGTGTAGCAGAGGCGCCTGTGGAAGGACTGAGTAGGCAATAGTACAGCTTGCGAAGGAGAAATGTTCCAACGAATGTTGTCGTGATGAAGAAATATGTTTTAATAACACCAGTGACATGTTACATGAAAACTTGTTACTTCCTCAGATAAGAGTTATAACACAGGTTCTATGATGATTAAAATATAATATATGAAACATGTGTGGATGTTTAAGAAAAATCAATTGTCTTACATCCAAGATGTAGTAACAATGATAATACAATAATATAATGTAGTAATAATACTACAAGACAAAAAAAGTGTATTACTATAGATAAATAATCTGAAGAGCTATTAGCAAAGGGCCAAAAAGTCAGTGAATTGTGAGCAGAAGGTTGATCAAAAGATTAATTCAAGAGGAAAGAACAAGGTGGGTGGGTCAAAAATATGAAACTAGTGATGAAGTGGTCTGCAAGCTCTAGTGAGGGAGAGAAGAGGATTGGCATCCAGACTTACTCAAGTCAGCCGCTGGGGAATTTGCTACATACCTGTTACCTAATATAATCAATAAAATATAAGAGCATATTAAAGGCTGCTTAAAATTTGTCAAATGTACTATATTTAATAGAAGAGATGGGCATTGGGAAATACAGTAAGAGATGGTTGAAGTGTATCAGTTTATCTAATGGGACATCCACCCACCCTGTCCTTTCACTCTTTCACTACTCTTTTACATATTCTTATATACTTGTTCAACCTCATGCACACAATTCACTGTTCCCAAGGTATAATTCTCAGTAAAAATTTTGTATCTATTATTATTAAATACTTCTACTATTATTACTACTATTATTATTATTATCATTACTATATGATACAACTAACTTTTAGGGTTTACTATTTGTTGAAGTTTTTTAGATGTAAGACAATTGGTTTCACTTAAACCTCCATATGTTTTTCTTACATGTTATATTTAACCTGTCATAGAACCTGTGTTACACTTTTTATCTGAAGAACTGACAAGTACACAGAGGGCACAAGGTCACAAATTACATTGTTGGTGTCATTAGTAAAGGTTTCTACATCATAACAACATTAATTAAATCTCTTTTCCTTTGTGGTCTGCACAATTGCCTGCTTAATGCTTTCCTGGGTGCCTCTGCCACACGTTATGTGCTAGAAAGATTGCATAATATTCAATAAAGCACTTTATTTTTACCACTTTTGTGGAATTTTCCTTTTGTTTAAATGTGTAATTTAGGTTGTTTGGATAAGACAAAAAATGTAAGGTCCACATTTGTTCACTCTTCAATGAGACACAGAAGTTGAATCCTACATAGTTTTACTTCAGATACTATAAGTGCAATACAAAAGATGGTCTTCAGTCTTTGGGAGAGTTAGAAGATAATGACTTTCTTAAGCCCTGTCTCTGCCACATAAAACTAAAAATTTGAACAGACAGAGAGGTAGGGAGTGTCTAGCTAAAGACTGTACCAAATAGCACCAAAAACAGGAGGTGGCAAAAGAGAAACATTCCAAATACAATAAACAATACAAAAGACAGGCCGCTGTGGCAGCACATGCATTATTATGTTTGTACATTTATTTATTTTTTCTTTATTTTCTGCAGACATTTCTGATTTCAACCCAGCAATGCTTTTTATCACAGCGGAAGAAACCAAACAACAGATAACAAGACTCAACCATGAGGTATATTTCTTTTTCCTTTTTTGGTACTAAATACCTCTAGTGAAAAGATTTCATGTCAATTATCTTATGAGCAGAGTAATATCTTATTTATTAATCAGTCAGAAAACAAAATCCTAGTATTTATTAACTAAAAACATGTAACATCATTTTACAACTTAATAATCAACTTTTTACGAGGTTTTCTCATGACTTGAACAACAACTTGACAAGGAAAGTTAATCCACTTAAAAGTAATATTTTGGTTATAGCAGACTGTCTTGTCTGTTTTCCACTTACTTCTGGGTTTTCCTACTTACAAATAAAGTGTCACCACAACTTAAAAGTAATTATTGAACCCCCCAGGAGATCAAGAGGGTTATTCACAAAGCTGCTGAAGGCAGTCGTGTGAATAACTGAGCCGAAGTGAACTGAGCTGAATGGTGTTCGGCTATTCACTTGGGCTCTGTACGGCTGATTTCAGCAGTACATCAGCTAAAATCATCCGTACATAGGCTGGCTTCGGCTGCCTTCGGTCAGCCCAACATGCTGAGCCAAAGTGCAGAAGCCATTGGACTCAGCCAATCCAAGATCTGGATTGGCTGAACCATTCGCCCCTCTTCTCATAGGGACCAAACGGCAGCGAGTGAATAGCCGAATGACACCGAGCAGCATTCAGGTCAGCCATCTGAGGTAGCGAGCAGAATAGAAAAAATGTAAGCAAATGAAAAAAAAGTGAAAAAAATTAAATAAATGTAAGAAAAAGAAATAAAAATGTTATAAAAATAATTAAACAATGTACAGAAAAGAAAAAAAAATACAGTAAGGGGTCCCCCTCCCAAACCATACCAGACCCTTTAGGGACCCCTATTTAAAAAAAAAAGAAAAACAAAGCATGGGATTCCCCCCCAAAAGTACTACCAGGCCTTTTATGTTTGGTAGGAATTTTGGGAGGGACCCCAAGTTAAAAATAAAAAGAAAGTGCATGGGGTTCCCCCAAAGTCATACCAAGTCCTAAAAGTCTGGTAGGAATTTTAAAGAGAAACACCACACTCACACAATGGGAAAAAAGGGGCCTCTTTCCCACAAGCCCTTGGGCGTTGGTTGTGGGGGTGCGGGCAGGGGAGATTATTAACATCAGGGTAACCCTTTAAAAATGGGGCACCCAGATGCGCCCCCCTTGTGAATGAGTAATAAGGATAACATTTAGGATAGCAAATTTGGTTGATAGGATATGTATATCTGATAAAAGCTTCTTCTGAAATCCAAAGATTATGTATTTTGGTTATGCAGTATAATAGTATTGTTGTTATTAGGATTTAGTAGTACCAATAGGTTAACAGGAAATAACAGTTTTTTTTCCAATACTGTACTTATGTGAGAGGAGGAGGGGTTCAGTTTATTTCAGGTTGCATAGGGTTACAAACTGCTTTTCCTCCCTGTTATACTTCATCAGCAATGTACACTGGCCTATTTAAGTCTCAGTATGGACAGGACAGGAATGCAGGCATTTGTAGAGCACTAGAATGGAGGCAGGAGCTGACACAGCTCTTCTGTCATGTAATCACTGAGGGAGCATGCACTAAGCTGAGAAACATCAGGTGGTTATCTTTTAAAATCCTCCTAGGCCAGATCTTTATACAGTTTGGACAAGTCTGCAAATCACAGAGTTTCCTACATAGAGCTATGCATCCTTTGGCCAATAAAATAGTAAATATAGTAAATCTATATGTATTTAAACTGTTAGCTTTCTGCCTAGAGTTGTTTTTTAAGACTTTGAATTCTTGCATAAGGACAATCGTAACTGGTTCTTTACAAGGGTCATAGCAAGCACCATTTTCACTTGCGGCACTGTGTGATAAAAATACTTAATTATGCAAAGAGAAGGGTTTCAGGCATTATTTACACATTCTTTTGCAACATTGATTTCCAATTAACTAAAAATGTAGCATCATTTTTAACCAGATGGACAGTGAGCATTGCTCAGGTCGAGCGCTGCTTCTGTCATTGTACAGAAACATTTCAAGTTTAAAATGCATGTTTGAAAATAAAAAAATAAAAGGCACACAATCTCATCTCCTTTTCTAAAGATAAGAGGTGCTGTCTGACAGGCAACCCATACAGGGATAACATAATCTTAATTTCCCATAATCACCTGTCCAGTATTATCATACATCATTGTCAGCAGACAAACCATGATAAAGGAGATCTGTGAGCCTCTGAAACACGTTGGATTTTCACCTCTTCATTGCATCTAATAAAGAACCCATACTGGACTGAATTAATCATTGTGGAGCTCTCATATTTCCAAATATCTAAGATAACAGCCTGACGTACTAGGACACACATGAATAGAGAGCAGAAGTGACCAGGCCCCTGTCGCACTGATACTAGCCAATATGTCCTTGAGGACTCATGTGCTTTAAGAAAGGGGGGTTCTTTAAACCCTTATCAAAACACTAGCTTTGATTTTGGGTTACCAAGGACTTGGTTCATGTGGAATTGCTGTGTTGACCTTCAGTAAGAATAGCAGATTTGCATTTGAGTTTAAAGTACTGCTTATAGTTATCATACAGCTTTAGATGAGAATTCTCCTCCCAAATTTTTAATAATTTGAACACAATTTTCTTTCCTTTTACACAATTACCACAGTGAAAATATTATTTAGTATACCAGAATTTAATGTATCCAGCCCATAGATGGTGCTGGCCCCATCTCTGCACAATCTCTGCTCACATTGTACAACCCATGAAAAACAACCACCTCTTACCAAGTTTCTAGGAGAAGGTCCTGTGAATAAGGTTGACTCATAATGTCAGTGAAATAGGAAAAATAAATCATTATTGTGCAGCGTCCTTCTAGAAATTTGTTTATGTTATTTGTTACATATGAATGGTGCATTAGGCACATTAGTTAGAATTAGAATTTAAGAATTAGTATTTCTAAGGGGTATAATAAAACAATGTACAGCAATGTATTATTATGCATGTCAATTAATCATGAATGTGTTTGCACTAGAGATTTTGATTGGATGTTCTAAGCAAGATTTACTACACATATGCAATAGTATAGGCTATTGTGATTGATGGCCTCTAAGGATAACATACCGTATATACTCGAGTATAAGCCGTCCCGAATATAAGCAGAGGTACCTAATTTTACCACAAAGAACTGGGAAAAATTATTGACTCGAGTATAAGCCTAGGGTGGGAAATGAGGCAGCTACTGGTAAATGTACAAAATGAAGATAGATACCAATAAAATTACATGAATATTTATTTCAAAGAAAAACAATAACCTAGCTCTGTAAGTGGAAAAGGGGGTACAGGGCGACATATCTTGTACTACGGATCATTTAACCCATTCATATAGAGTATATACTGCTAATACAGTGCAGACAATACATAATTGCTTAATAAATCTCCCCAGAATAAATACAGTATAATCCAGCACAATATGTTAGGATCTAGGTGTACCACAGCAGGTCTAGCAGCTCCACAGGTTTTAGCTCTCTCTTTCTCTCCCTCTCTATCTCTCTCAATCTCCAGTGCCATTTGGAGAAAGAGGGGGCCGGAAAAGCATTAATATTATTTTATTATTTTATACATTGGTGATCCATTGTTATTTTTATTTGTGTTTAATCCTCCAGTTTAGACCTCAGATCCTGTCGATCAAGAATACAGACTTTCATGTTATACTCACCACACTATCATGGAAAAGGCCCTGGTGGCAACTCTCACAGTGAGAAAATTAGGTCACTCTTCACTCTGAAAGGATATGTCTGAGTGCATATATATGTAGCTGGATAGCAGACATCTGGGGATTATTACACATATTAAAAAATCCTCACTCAGCAATATATCAAATGCATGCTTTTGCTGACCTCCTGCACATGGAACCCTCTATTTGATGATGTTTAACCCCCCTCAGGTTTTAGTAGGCCCCAGGCAGCTGCCCCCTTTACCCATGTAAATGAATTAACCATGAACTTCCTATGTGCCTCTGATTTCTCTCTTCCTCAAATAGAACTTTTCCTAAACTGAGCAGAGCATAAACACACCTATGTATGAGCACCTTAAATCTCTGCATTGCACCACCCATGGACATAAGGCATAAACTGTAATATCTAATTTGCTCACCAAGAAACACTGTTCTAAATTCAGTTTGAAAACAAATGACTAGTGCCATCAAAATTTTTAATTAAAATCTGTATCGTTTTTTAATCACATTTCTTTCAAGCCCAGGAAATATCATTTTATTCATCTGTCAAATCTATATCAGAAATCAAATAGCTGGGCAATTATATTATTCAGACTAAATGGTGGCATTTGTAACTTCGAATGTCAGTAAATAATGTACCTGTCACATTATCTATGTATCTGACAGCTGAGTTTATGTTTATAATGAGGATATGCTGTCAAGACAGGGCAACATCATTCTTTACAAATTGGTCTATTTATTTTCTCTAGACTAGTGACATTAAAGTGACCTAAATATTTTTGGTTAATAGAAAAGTAAACCATGCTCTGAGCTATGATTAGAACATTTGTTTCAGTGAAAAAAAATATTAATGAAGACATGTTATAGGTTAAAGTGTACAGGCAGACAGGTGATTCCTTGCCCATTACTGTATACAAAAGATAAAGGTTAAAATAAATGATTACATCCTCTTTACTCCACCTATCCTGTTCCGATTATGCCTTCCTTTTTCTGCTCCCATGTTTTATCACTAAACCCGCTTGGACATGCAAGGCCAACTAACCAACTCTGTTATTTTCTTATATTTTGGTTCACCCAATATTGCAAGGATGTTGTGTACCCTTAGTTCTTCGACAACTCTAAAGTGGGAGGAAATATTTTTCTCTGTTAAGATGATGTATGCCTGTGCATGTATCCTTGCCACATGGAAACAAAACACCCCAAAAAATCATTTTAAGTATATTTGTGAATTGGATACCTTTAGTGTAGATCATGTTGATAGAAAAGAAATGCAGCAGGAACAATGTCACAATCATTGTTGCTGATTGGAATGCATAACACGCCAAAGTCTGTGCCCTCAAGTGGCTATAGAGCAGTATATGAAAAGATATGGTATTAAACATTAAAATTAAAAAAACAGCGTGGAGTCCACTCCCCAATCTATACCAGACCCTTTTGGTCTGGTAGGAATTTTAAGGGGGGACCCCTGAAATCCCTTACTAGACCTTTGATCTGAGCAGCAGCCTGTCAGAGCAGGAAAAAGGGAGCAATGCTGCACCCCCCTCCTCCTGCACCATACCAGGCCACATGCCCTTAACTTTGGGAGGGTGCTTCCCCACAACCCTGGCCTGGTGGTTGTGAGGGTCTGCGGGCAGGGGGACTTATAGGAATCACAAAGGGGGCACCCAGATGCCACCCCCACGTTAATGAGTAAGGGGTAGTTGTTACCCCTACTCATTCACCAAATAACAGTAAAATTAGTAAGTTAAATGATGTCCACAGAACTCAGCAGGCCATTGCTGGATAATCCTCCAGAATCTTCACCACCAATCACTTGAGGGAGGCTGCCATCCACAAAGACAACTGGGAGTTAGCCTCATGAATCATGCAAAAAACAAACAGAAGCACAGCGCCCTTTCCTCGTGGGATAACGTTTATTCAATGCAAAATGTGTGCAAAATAGAAACTACTCACATGTACATGATGAAGACAAGTGGTATAATAAACCATACATGCAGGGCAGAGACAAAGGCGCTGACGCATTTTTTTTGGAAAAGTCTGAGGAGGGGGCTTTTCCCCCAAAATGCCTCAGCTCCTTTGGCTCTGCCTTGCATGTATGAATAAATGTTATAACACCTCTGTTTGTTTTTTTGCCTAGTATGGAGGATACTTCCCAGTAAAATAAGTTAATAAACACACCACACCAACTTTTATTTTTTTTAAAAAGCACAGCACTGTTTTTGCCAATCCTTATTAAAAAAATGTCCATTGATGTAATTCACAGGTCAATCATGTCGTCCAGTGATGTAGCTCCTCATCAATCATGGTGGATGACGGCTGCTGGCACACTGGAAAAAGAATTGCTGATGCCCGCCACAAATCTGATCCTGATGAACTCTAAACACAAATGACAACTCTTCTCTCGAATATCAACAATGGGGTGGAGCGAGTCATGACATCACAGGACTTCCTCCACCCCTTTGTTTACATTCCATTAGGGGACCGAGACATGTCACAGAATGACAACAAAGGAGCGGAGCAAGCCCTGTGACATCATGACTTGCTCCACCCCTTGTTGACATTCAAGAGAAAACCTGTCATTTGCAGTGAGAGTTCATCGGCTTCAGACGCAGTGGCGGGGACTTTTTTCGGTGAGTCGGCGGCTGTCATCCCTCGTGATTGATGAGGATCTACATCTCTGGACGGTGTGATTTACCTGTGGATTACATCGAGGGACTTTTTGGGGGATTTTTTTAAAGGAATTGTCAAAAAAAGTGTTGTTTTTTTTCCAGATAAAGGTCTTTGTAGTAAGGTGTGGTATGGTAATGTATTATTTTACTGTTATTTGTGAATGAGTAGGAGTGACAACTACCCCTTACTCATTCACGGGGCGCGGGATCTGGGTCACCACTTTATGAAAGGGGGCACTAAGATTCAGATAAGCCCCCCCTGCCTGCAGACCCCCACAACCACTGGGCCAGGGATATGAGGACAAGGTGCTTTGCCGGAGGGCCCCCTGGCAAAGCATCCTCCCCATGTTAAGGGCATGGAGCCTAGTATGGTGCAGGAGGGGGGAGGGGGGGTCACATGCTCATCCCCCTTTCCTGCTCTGCCTGGCTGCTGCTTGGATCAAGGGTCTGGTAGGAGATATTGGCAGGGACCCCACACTTTTTTGGGGTCCTCCTAAAATTCCTACCAGACCTACAGGGTCTGGTAGGAATTAGGGAGGACCCCATGCTGTTTAAAAAAAAGATGCTTTATGTTCTTGTGGACTGTCAAAAATTGTCTAACACATTTAATGTCACTTTTTCTGCAATTTCTGTGTTCGTAATTATCGTTGAACTCATCCAAAATTAAAACGAAAAATTAGGAAAGATCTGAAACGCGCTGTAAAACGCCCAGGTGGGAACCATGCCCATAGGCAAAATCATTGGTTTTCATATGTTGAGCGTTTTACAGAGCGTAGGAAAGTGCAAACATGATATAAAACTAAAGCATATTTGCAGTAGCTAGAATTAAAAAAAAAAGTACCTACTATAATTTTAAGATGCAACAATACACCAACGTCTTAGTCTCAGCGCTAGTGGAATCTCAGGGATCTTCAAGCAGTGACGGCCTCTCCACACTCCCAGTAGCAACTTCTCACAGGGTCAGGGAATCCCTCAATACATGTAAAAAGATAAAAACAGAGCTCCCTTTTCATGTGTAGAAAATTTGAATAAGATGAAAAAAGTCTGCATAAATAAATGTACTCACAAACGTACTAACGAATACATGTGGGTTAACAATAGCCTGCAAGAGTGTCACATTCAAAGGACCATTTCCTCACTGGGAAGTTTTCAAAAGAAGCCGCCGGTCACATCCTAGTTGGCACCGGATGCTGTGTGCTTGGCTCGCTTATTTTCTCTCTAGGTCAAAGGTAATAGCAGGAAAATACTGCTTAATGGTGACCAGATGTAACTGAAGAACATAGGAATATCCTTCTTTTCTATGCTCCTCAGTTCCATACCATGGTCATAATGTGGTATTTTCCGCATATTATATTCAATTTGGGGGAAAAAATACTATTTACATTCATGTTTGCCTCCATTCGCAATTTCTCAGGCTCTGTGAATTGTTTATAAATAAACTCCTTAAATGTGTAAGGAGGTAGTTCAATAGGAGAGCTGCAGAGATCATATTATTAAGTATAATACATACTATAATATACGAGTAGTTTATTTAACACTTTACTAACTGAAGCAGCTATTAGTCTGGTGTTTTTATAATCTAAAATAGCACTTCAGATATTACACATTTAGTTTCATGATGTTTACCATAACTGGTCAGTAACAGCTTTGTAGTCTAATTAAATTATTTTGAAGGACACTATATACCGTGTTTCCCCCGAAAATAAGACACTGTCTTATATTTTTTTTGGCTCAAAAAAACACATATATATATATTGTTTTTCTCATTTTAGTAATTGTGATAACATCATGCTATGGACAGGCAAGCTTATACCAACATATATATGAAACCCTTTTTTGTTTTTATCTTTTCTCTAGGTTAGTACTTTAACTCATGAAGTATCCCAGCTCAGCAGAGATATGAAGATTGTCATGAATATTTTAGAAAACCTGTTAGCTGCACAAAGACCAGTTGGATATTATTCAACTTATGGCACAGTGATTGATGGAATGGGTACTACAATAGGCTCTCCAATGGATCAAATGCAAACTAGAATGACATGGACAACAAACCAAGCTTGCATGCAAAGGCAAGGTTCCCTGGTTGGCAATCCAACACAGTTGTGTCAAGGTGCTGTTGTATCTGACTTGTGGAACATGGATCCTTCCAGTGTAGGAAGCAGCCCCCAAAGAAATGGATCAAATGTAGAAAATTCATTAGAAGGTGAATATTACTACACATCAGGCCTTGGATATTCTCCCTCGCATTATCAAGTTATTCAGGCTGACCAATATTCTTATTTGAAGTGTGAATCACCTCATTCAGACACCACATTAACTCCTCTGCAGTCTATTTCTGCAACTCTTTCTCCATCTATGTGTTCATCATCTGACACTTCTCTTCAACTTGTGCTGCCCAGTAGATCTGAAGAAGGCTTTAGCCAAGGAGCAATTAGTTCACTAAGCCTTGAAAATCTGCCAGGTTCTTGGGATATAGAAGGGACAGTTGGACTCTCTGGACAGTTGACAGAAGAATACTCCGAAGACATTGTTACGAGTACAATAGATTTTAAAGATGACAAAGCCATAAATGTATAATCATAAATGATTAGTAATATTCAGCAGAAGCAGCAATGTGGTAACTATTTATGCATGAGACTGCAAAGACACATGGATGAGTTTGTTTCATTTCAACTATTCTGGAAAAGATATAAATGAGAAATTAATTCAAAAAGCACAGTACCTTAAGATATTTATTTAGAAGTGTGGAGGGTGTGTTTTTGTTACTTATGTAAGCTATTGGTCTGTGTGCCAGGCCTTTTAATGCAGACTAAAGACCCAGAGGGTCAAAACAGCTGGGAGTCATATACAAAAGAACACATGACCACATATTTCGTAGGGAGTTATTATATCACAAAGCAAAATGCTCTTTCCTGAGTGCCTGATTGTTATTTGCAAACAATAGCACTGTCAATGCTTGCTTCAGGTGACCATGATACCTGCTGTCTATTTGTCAGTTCAGAGAAGACATAGGGACAATTATCGCTGCATGTCATCTCCTAGACAATCAACCAAACAGAGTTGGTAGATGGTGGGTTAGCCGTTGCACGTTATTTGTCAGTTTAATGAAACCTCTTAATTTATTTATCAGAAAAAATGCTATTTTTATATTCCTTGTATGAAATATGTATTTAAACTATTTAAAATATTTATAACTAAATGTCTTTTTTTGGTAAGAGCTTGCAGTTTTCAAGAGAAATGCACAATTCTTATGCATATTGAATTAAACAATTTATTATTCAGAAAAAAATAAAAGTGTACATAGTTAATATATCCCATTTGCATGTAAGTTGGATGAATGCATAATAATACTTTTCTATTTGATTCTATATTACCATGTTAAACAGGAAAGGAAAAAATATATACGCTATATGTTTTTTTAATTGCATAAAGGGAAAATTAACATAACAAGTTCAGAAACCTTGCTTTTTCCTGAAATCCCACCAAAGCAAACATTTTGCCCCTACAAGCAGTAACTTTCTTTTATTTGCCATTTAAGCATTTTTTCTTTTTAGTGTAGATGATATTTTCATTATTTCTGTTCTGCATTATTTATTATGTAGCTCTTTAGAAATTTCTTGTCATCAGGCTGTGTAGAGTGTCACTTTGCTTTTGTTAATAATTAAGGAGAGAAAATATGAAAATAAACATTGTTTTAACCAAAGACTAAATAATGTCAATGTCTGGATTTTGTGAAATAATTTTATCTCAAGGTTTTATCATTATCTTAGGTCTACTGTACCTAAATGTACTTTGCTTTCTGCCTACCTCCACCTAAGTATAACTCCTGATTTCTTAATACAAAATATGCTTCCTACAATAGGCTTTAAACACAACAGAGTGGTCACATACAGTTTTGAATATGATAAACTTACTGCTAGCTAGAGTAGGAGTGCTCAATGGGAAATATAGATACAGCAGAGGATAAGGAGTTATACAGACCATTAGATGACAACCAAATTATTTTTAAACAAAGTACATTACAATCTTAATGTCTTTTTTAAAAAAAAGCAATAACAGCATTTCCAAATGTACCAGCACAATCAGTAGCGTGTGAAATAGTAGTCAGTTTGTCATCTTCCAGCTATATAATCACATAAAGGGTTTTGAAGAAGAAAGCTAAACAAGTTAGTTCAGTTTCTTTTGCTGGGCTTTGGGCTTCCTTCTTTCTGGATGTGTCCAATATGGTCAGTGGATCGTAAAAGATGTGATCCCTCCTGCATGTTCTGGCTCTATCTTAGGACCTCTTACCAACTGTACCTGGATTTCTAGGGGTAAACTGTTTTAAAATGTCCAAACCAGTGATTCCAAATAGTTCTGATGTATTTTTATTATACTCTCAGTGCCACCAATACCTTGCTACAGTAAGCTCTAGATGGTGCTAACAGTGTGATCATTTGAAAAACATTGTACCTAATATAGTGCCCTCATTTTCCATAACAACTGAAAAAACACTAAGGGGTCTATTCACAAAGCTGCCGAAGGATCTAGCCGTAGCTTTGGCCAATCCTTCAGCTAGTTTCGGCCCCAGGACCCCTTTCGGTTCAGTAGAACGTGGCCGAACGGCTCAGTCGAGCCGAATGCATATGCATCCTTTTCTTCTTTATTCTGACATGGAGCCGTGTCAGAACAGAAAAAAAACAAACAGTTTTTGCCCATTGGAATGCATTGCTAGATTCCTATTGGCTATTTCAATTTGCAATAGCCAATAGTAAACTAGCATTGTACCCGCCCTCTGCTGCAGTTCTCCATCAGGTCCATCAGAATTAGACCCGTAAGTAGGGTTGCCACCTTTTCTTCCAGCGAAACCCGAACACTCTAGCGGCGCACATAAATTTTTTGGGGAATATGAGTCGTGGCTTTTTCATATGTAAATAGCATCACCCGTTTATGTGTAAATATCACAGTCAAGATTATTTTAAGTTGGGGGCCCAATAGCCCCTATCTTAATTTTGGTTGCCCTTGTTTGCCTGACAACATGTGTCCGGGTTTCAGCTGCCATGAAACCTGGACACAACATTAAAAACCCTGACTGTCCGGGTGAATCCTGGACAGGTGGCAACCCTACCCGTAAGACAAAATAAGCATTAACTAGGCCTTATTTGCTTATAAAGGCCACAGTGGGAAATCAGAAAGCTATATTAATCTGAGATTAAAGAGATGTGAGGTGCATTCAACTGATCTACTTAATGGCCTACTGTTAATGCAAATTAAGGTATACTATAACATCCTGTTATTTTACACTGTATGTCAGTTGGCTATATTTCACCATAGGTAAACACAGGCCACATATACACACAATGCTTGAAAGGAGGAGGATGGAGAATAATACAGTTGAGAATTCAGAAGTGGAGACAAACAGCATGCTAAAAACTGTTCATTATGATTTTGGTGTAAGTAATATTGTTTTAATTCTATTATTGCTTGGTCAGAAATTGAGAATAAAAGGACTATGCATAGCGATATAAGTAAAGCAAAGCTCAAAAAAAGCAAAAAAAAACATTTTTGCATCCATTCTACTCTCAACACTTGTCTGTAGACTGTGGGGACAAGAAATCTCCTGGTGTGTGGCGATAGCACGATCTGTTTGACAGTTTTACATTTGATTCCATTTCTCCCCATGACTTAAAGCAAAACTGGAGAATAAAAGAGACAGAACGCACACACACACATATACTTTTAACTTCCCCCTCCCACTCCCCAATCACATGAACAGGAACTTCTACTGTCTTAGGAGGTTTGTGTACACCTTTACAGCTATTTCCATATTGTCTGTCATAGCATTTACATTGCCTTTCTTATAAACACTTTGTTTGAAAATTATTGATAAAACTACTACTAAAAGTACTTTGTTTGAAAATGATTGATAAAACTTTTAGATAAAAAAAATGCATTAATTAAATCCAGCCCCAAAAATGTATATTGTAACTATTGTATAAATTACTAAAATATTGTCTAATCTTCACATGAATGCTTCTAGAGGAAAGGGTAAAAGGATTAGAATGTAATGGTTTATTTTTCTCTTTCTAGAATTTTAGTAGACAATTTTTATTTTTGAGTAAAGACTTATCATTGCTATATATAGAAAAGGCAATAACAGTAATAAAGGTTTGATTTTTATTTTAAACGGACAGAATGTGCAAGTTTTGTACATGTTCTTCTCTTTTTTTGCAGCCTTAAGAGTCAGTTATTGTAATAACACATGCTGTAGACTTTGCCCTTCTTGTAGATTATAATGCCTTTTTGTCAGTGTAAAGAAAACGTGACCTATATGTTCATCCTGTATGAACAGATAATGTTTACATGACTTTAAACAAAACATATTAAAATGATTGTCTTCCTTTATGTGGTTTATGTGGTTTGTATGTTGTAATTCTCACATTTTCCTTATTTTGATATGCAGTAAGTTCAAAAGATATTAAAGTGGACTTTGCATCTGTGAAACAAAACACTGAGAAAATACTTTTGTCCATCCAATAAATACATGTGTTCCATGTTGCATGCTCTTCTAGTTGTCAGGACTACACCAGGAATTTTTACTCTGATGCCCCTTGTTTTTGGTTATCAGAAGAGCTGGAAGAACATACCACTTCTGTGCTGATTTCCCTCCCTGTTCTTGTGTATACAGTACATACAGTACATCACTGTATCCTTGACTAATAGAAAAAACTCTTCACTTCCTTTTCATAACCTCCCAGAAGAATACATTGGGCCACCATGAGTGCAGTCAAGCTCCAGGTTCCTCTCCAGTACAAAGCCAACAAGCATGTTACAAAAGGAGACCTACACATTAGGTTATTCACCATTAAATTACTTTTAAACAAGCAGTCACCCGCATCCCACAGGCTTCTATCTTCGACCAGTGGATAAGTGAAGTCTAGTGGCATATGAATAGCTGTTTAAAAAAGCTATTGAACAATAAACATTGTGTGCATCATAAATGTTAGAACGTATTCTTGTAACTAGGATGATATAAAAGATTCAGTTGGGAACCAGTGTGGGACAAAACCCCTTGATCTCCTCAAGTTGGGTGGTGGTCACTACATTTTAAAAAAGAACTCCAGGAAAAAAATGTATTAACTCTCGTAGTGGGGCTACCCCTGCACTGCAAAGGTTACATGCTCATTCTTGTCTAGGCTAAAAAAAGTTATACTCACCTGAATTGTAGAGCTGGCTTGTTTTTAGACCAGTCCTTCCAGCCTCTCTCCCCCTCCTCTGCAACGGTCTAAGGTCCAGTAAATCATCACGCTCTATACACTGTGTATAGACGTGAGAATGCTGAGGAAAATTTGAATGCTGCAGCATAGGAGGAGACAGACTGGGGGAGCGCTGCAACAGCTGGCCGGCTCAGAGCTTCAAGTGAGTATAACTTTGTTATTCATGTGGAGTGTTATTTTATTGTGTTCTAGAGAACCTGAGGCACTACACTTCAAAAGACATGATTTCTTTTTTGGTCTGCTTTACAAATACAAATCTATAAAACCCTAGTTACTTTTATTAAATAATTTCATGGTGTATAATGCTAAATGTGAGTTAGGGAGACTGACATTACTTTTTCATAAAATATGGCAGCTGTTGGGTTACCCAGAACACTTGTTCATGGTGGAAGAGCTGTCCTGTTAGAAACACAGTCAATAACAGCCTAAATACAAAGCAAGGCATAAAATATTTAAACAAATACACATATTTTATCATTAAGCATTCTGCTGGTAAGTTAACCTAACTTATATACTTCATTCTATATACTGATCATTAGCTCTTATGCCTTTTGTGAATGTTCAGAGATTAACAAAACTTAAATTATGCATGATGTATTTTACTAAAGAAAATAAAATCTCTTTTATATTTGTTTGTTTGTTTGTTTTTTTGTTTTTTTTTAATAATTGTAAAAGCAGATTCATATATCACTGAACCTTTACCTTATAAAGCAGACAAGAACATTTTCTGGATGTTTGTTGCAGGAGATTATGCTATTTTAAACCCCGTCTGCTTAAAGAGAAAAATACAACTTTCATCTTATTTTTTATAATCCTTTTTCTATAAATTTGACAATTTTACATTCTGTGTCATTAGAAACAAGCCAAGAAATAGAAGAGGTTTGAAAGAAAGGGAGAAGAAATGTTGTCAGAAATGCTATGTACTTCCACAGAAAAAAAACATGTCAGAAAATATGTCTGTGTTCCAATAACAATCAATAGCCCATTTGAAAATAGTATTTTCTGCTGCAGAAGATGGCAGAATTGCAAAATCAAACAGAAACAGAATAAAAAATAAAATAATAATA